AATTCATTCAAACTGGCTTCAGAGGGAACTTAGGCTGGGTCCACAAGACCGAACAAAGTACGTCCGTTGCACCGGACGTAGGTGAGGACACCAACCGACCGCCAATTACCGTGGCAGCTTGAAAGGATTTAGAAAGAAAAAAATAGCATTGTCTGTACTTACAAATCATAATTTTATGACTGACGTCACGATGTGCGTTAAAACTTACGTACTTTGTACGGTCGTGTGGCCCAAGCCTTATATGACACAGTTTACTTTCTTCGTGAAAGCGTTTGGTATTGTTTCCTGAATAAAATGTAACTGGACACTTCAGTTCGTACTTACATTTGGCGGTGAGAATGTTAAAGTATCCGTTTGTTCTAAAGTTAGAAGCTTCTCTAGCGAATGTAACTTTACGCTGTTTCCTGTTAGATTCGAAAAAGAACATTCAGTTCATTAACCTATAAAATTACTAGAAATTTTTTATCATACAGAATCTCGAATCGTATAATTGACTGGCAAAGTATCCTAGATTTACTGTAATTGAGATGCTTACAATAATGAGAGTACGGACGGACAGCTTTATTGCAAAATATACAGTACCTACAGCAACTCGTATTCTCCCACAAACCGTAACAGAGAGTGAGAGATGTACAATACCGAAATCAGTATTACCTCGAACAACAAGCCGTGTCAGTTGTGGACACTAACCCAACGTTTCGTAGACCAATTGCGTCTCCATAATATAGGGAAATATTTTAAGGTTGACCGACTCAAAAGTAACCCAAAATAATATTTTGTAACTCGTTTGAAGTTTTCTTGTGATTTCGCAATAACTTGGATAGAAATGTTTTTGTTTTTGTAATTTACCATTGTCTAGGTTTCATTAAAACCACAGTTCATTGGTTGTACTTGCGTTTTAAGCGAGAGAAGGACAAAAGCCTAGCCTGTTGGGGCTGTCTGTTCGAATTAGGCTCGTACGTGGAACAACCAGGGGGCCAGCCGCCCTCGTGCGATTTTTACAACGCTCTATTATCTTGTAGGATGAAAATTACATATCTGACGTCAGAAAACACGTTTTGTTATCGTCAGTATTTGTCACTGTGAGCGACTTGAAGATTAGGCGTTTGTTAAGACAGTAAAACGAAGAAATATTACGCGTCATACTGATTAGCACGTAGAAGGATAGATGTTAATCTTCACAAAATGAATGAATTAACGTAATGACCCACTGAAGATGGGAGTCTTCTAGGTTGTTGCGCCCTATAGT